GGCTGGGAATGTCGGGGGCGGCATTGCTTCACCTACCTTCTTACATTAAGGAGCTTAATGGCTTCTTATAACTACCCACAGAGAAAGACACTGACAATGCCCTTCAGTCTCAAAGAGCTTTAACTCAATCAGGAACAACAGGACACAGTACAAAAGGTTTTGAAATGCGTTCCATTGAAAGTCGTCTGAAAAAGATGGGGAGCGTTATAAACGTATTGATATGTAGGGCAACTTTGCAAAGGAGCAGAAATCCATCCTTTTATATTATGCCCACTGTCTTCTGAATGTAAGCCTTTGTTCCCTCTATCTGCACCTATAAGGTGGGGTTTTCAGCATAAACCCAGACTGCAGGCAGCATTGCTTAGTAAAGAGACTCATGCTCCTAAATTCTTCGGTGCACTTTGAAAATCCCACTCTTGCTCAGCTGCACCCTCAAAAGTTAGAACATTTACAACTACCTTTTGAGGTTTCTGCATTCAGATATGACTTGTGATCAACCAAAAACAATTAAGAGAGCAAAAACAGAGATGCAAATTTAGAAGGTGTTTGACTAGTTTATCTTTTGTGACAGCACTGTATTTTCTGGGGCTGCTGATCATTAAAATATATGATGGTTCAAAAGCATAAGAGCTTATCACCTGTTTCTACACCTTTGAATATTCTCTGAGTTTTTCCCCTGCAAAAAGGGATGTTTCCTATTAGTTCTGAATTGGCACTCTTTCTCTCCAAATGCAGGATGAAGGGAAGTGCAGACCCCTGGAAGTAACAAAGCTGGAAGGAGCGGAAATTGGTGTTGATACCAGTCTGGGAAAACCATTTGTTTTTAAATGCATACCTCAAAATGGAAACAGGATTTTCTATTTCTGTGCAACTTCCAACCAAGAAATGAAAAGGTAAGTGATCTTTCATTTTACAGGGTCGGTGTGGTTATTCCAGTTTGGGTAGAGGGAGTCTGAATTTCTGGAGGATGTTCAAAATACCTGCCTTGATCAGTAGAAAAAAAATATCTATCAGCTACTTATGGGAAGATGGTGTTTCTAATTTTCATTTGAGCAAGCTTCAAAAATTATTTTTCAGCTTCATATTTTTTTATGAGGATTTTTTTTTCATGAAGTCTTTAATATTTACGCTTTGCTCAAGATCCCCCTGAATTTTTTATTTATCTCCAGAAAAAAATCTTCACCCATATTCTCATGCCTTCTCCCCCACTGTTATATCAAATGGAAGTGTAAATTTTCCTGTGGATGTAAACTTGATTACTGGTCATTTCATATGGATGATCTCTCTTCTTCCCAACAAGGACACTGCAATACAACCCAATCTTCCATTTCCTTTTCTGTCATTCTGTCATATTATCATTTTAGTATCTAAAAATGTAGGTATGCCGCAAAAGCGTATTGGTTCTGATAAGAGGCAATGAGTTTGGGCTTGACTCAGAGTTAGACTTAAAAGATATTCTTTTTGCATTTTCCAAAGACTATAGGTGACAAAACAAAGACACTAAAAGAACCTTTTAGACATTAATTTCAAAATGCACTAAAATCTAATTTTATTTTCCTTTTTGTTTTATTGTGAATTATCAAAAATATAAAGCTATGAAGTAGGATAACATTTGGTATTCATCCACCCATCTTTTTGTAAAATCTTGCTACTTAACATAGCACCCACCATTGTAATATCACAGCATTTTCCAGTTCCAAATTCTATACCATCCACAGCACGAGAAGAATAACTTTCCCAACAAATAGCTTGCTTTATTCTGTAGTCTCCATTTTCAGGATTCTTTACATCTCCCACAAATTCCTTATCTACATTATAATAAAGACACAAGAAGAGCGATCATTTAGCCAGACATGTTGAACTGTATATATATATATAGATTCCCTTGTCTGCAATATTGCCTTAATTTGTTACAATTACAAGCAAGCTTTAAGACTTATTTTTCTGAGAGATAGCAATGTTTATGTAGATTTAATCCACTACTTTTCTATCTTGAAGCCTTGAACGTGTCCTGAAAATTGCACATCCCTTTAGATGCTGTGTATGTCAGCAAGAGTTTAAAGAGGCAGTGAAGTACTTGTATTCTGCCCTACCAAACTAAGCTATTCTCATTTTTTGTCATTTACAGGTGGCTGGAGGCTATGGATAAAGCAGTGCATCCTGTCCATCAGGTAATACTTTATTTATAGGAGAGGCATGTGTATAGCAGATTGTGCAGAAGACCGGGAAACAGTAGATGTATTTGTGCATGGTCAGGTGCAGACAGCAGCATGGAAGCTGCATTCTTTTGTTCTGGGCTGCTGGGATATGAATCAGCTCCTACCTAAAAGCCATTTATTATTGTGACTAAGAAAATATGCTTTGCTGCCATTTGGTGGAACCAATCAAAATGCTCCCTCTCCAAATATCAGCAGCTTTAAACTGGTTCAGAAACATAGCCTAAAATGAGGGTAGTGGGAAAGGAAGAAGGGGAGAGATGACTCTCACAAACACGTTCTGCCCTAAGTAATGCTGTTTGGAGTAAAGGGAGAGAAGGTCTGTATCTTCTTAAGTATTCCCTGCAAGTCTGCCTTGGTTGCAATCTACCTGCTTATTATGTTAGAAAAGGGGGTGGGGGAGGGCAGTGTTGCTGGGTTCTTCTTTTCTGTATTTTCAGAGATGAAGAAAAGTAAGTTAGCTGATAAACTGTGAGTTACCTCTATCTCTTCATATAGCTATACTCTCTGCTGGCCCCTGTGGCTGGGAGAAACATAGCCATAACCGATCCTGAGCTGCTACAGAGAGAGCTTGGTCAGCCCAGCATAATTTATAATGAATCGTCCCTGGCTGAGCCCTGAACAGGGACCTGCAAAGCTATTTTTAGTACTTCCAAGGTTGGAAGCATAGGGGTCAAAGCCACTTCAGCCTCCACTTTTCTAGCCCCATGATTCTTATTCTTTCCTCCTATAGGCAGACCACCTTTATAAAAATATGCTGTTGATCTGTAAAATCCTTTTTTAAAAAGGTTTAGCTGCTCAACCAGCTTGGTTTTTAGCAGAATGTGAGGCTCAAATGCAGAGTAAGTATCAAAGTCTTACCTTTTTTGCAGATGAAATAAAATCATCAACCAAAAAAATAAGAGTATTGCAAAGTACAAATTACAACCTGCATTAATGCAGTGCAAAAAAAAAAAACAAAAAAAAGGAAAAAGAAATTTAAATTCCTTCTTCTCTCAACTCAGAGCACATGAGTGACTCCTTTAGCAGTGTGCTTTAGCGATGAGTTTCCAAACAGTGAAAGGAGGTGTATATTGCTATTTTAATTCCTTTTCCACTGAAATAAAATCAGCCAAACATATATTTCTTTTGGCTTCAGCTTTCAGATGTGATTGGAGGTGCAAAACCAAATTTGCTTCCAAGTATAGTCTACCTGGCAGTGTTTCTTAAAAGAATACAAAGAATCCACATACCTGAAAACTGCAAAAATAAATAAAACAGTTTAGGAAAAAGAAACAGAAAAATAGCCTGAGCCAAAAAGGAGGATAAAGGCACACATGCACAAAAGAAAGCACATCAAAAGAATCATTCTTTAGTGTAACATGCAAAAATAATTTGTTGGATGAAAAGTTCCAACATTATATATACAGAAAGATCTCTCATGCATTCACCAATTAATAATACAGTACGTTGGCTCCTTTCTGTGCTACTGCAGAAATGCTATTTTTGACTGCTTTATCTTTTTTAGTTTTGCCTTTGAACAAACAATATGTCGCTTTCATTACCTAACCCCTGTTCTTAATGAACCTTATATCTGTTCCTTCCTTCTAACTGGACTTTCCTTTCAGTTGAATAGAAAAAGCTTATATTTTCCTTTTTGTTTGTCTGCTATACCATTTGTTACTGACTTTTTGCAATAGCTAGTGTGTGTAAGGCTCACAACGCAACGATGTAACAGTGCAATATACTGATACTATGTCGTCTTAATGAATCTACAAGGAAAACTTTTTTATGAATACACCTAGTATTACTGAAGTCCTCTTCTGCACTGTGCTGCAATAAGTCTCGGCAGGTTTACTATTCATAACAAAGAATGCTGCTAGCTATATTGTGCCAAGTCTTTTTTCTGTCATTGCCTTGTCGAGGATACTAAAGAAATATCACAAGTAAATGCAAAAGAAAACCCCTATGGAAACAAACAGGATGCTATTGATATTGCACAATATTGTCCTCATGGGTTTCAAATGACAATGACACTGGTTGATGTAGAATCTGAAATACGTATTGCAGGTAAGCAAAACACACTAGGAGAGGCTGAGTGTCTAACACCTCTCAGATTTAAAGGAAAAGAAGAAATGGTTTAGGCTCACATTAGACAACTTGATCCTATTAAACAACAGTTTATTTTTTCCTGATTTTCTTTTTGGACTCTCTTATCACACAAATAACTTATATAATGGCAGTGTTCCATGGGTTGAACTTTTTCTTCACCCGTAAATGACAATAGGATAATTTTAGTAAAGAAAAAGACTACTTTGCAGAAAGGGATGGGTAGGCATCTGTAATAATTTTGTGTATGGTAGCACTTCCATCCAAGTCTGAGTGCTGTATTCTGGCCTCAGACACCACCACATTTTCTCTGAACCCAGAGGGTAGATGGTGAACCTTGTCTTGATAGGTTACACATAATAAAGACTGCCGAAGTCAGGCAGTCAGCAAGACAAATGTTTTTAAAAAGCTTCTTCATGCAGCTTTGAAATGATCTTGTTTCTACCAGCAAAGCTTGTACTGAAAAACAAAATAGATGCAGAAAAGACAAGTTATTATTGTAAGAAGAAAGTAGAAGTTGGTCACTATTTGCCATCAAATACAGGTTTTTCTAATTGTATTTTCCACACTGACTTTTCAAATTATTTTCACAACAAAAGCTAATTTCCTCCAGGGCACTAGAGCTTGTGTCTTTTCATACTAGCAGGTCCTCCTTAATTTCTTGCCAGAACTTTTCATTATATGCTCACTTTACAGAACCACGTGTGGGTAGATGTCACACTGCATAACACTACACTTCCACCCTTGGCTATCAAAAACCCAGAGTGCCTGGGGCTTCTCCACCAGCTGGACAGAAGCAAAGATGTCTGGATTCAGCACTACTGCATTCTGAAGGATGGCTGTTTGTACTTCTATGCCACTCTCCGGTCTACACCTGCGCAAGGTAAGGACAGCTCCTGGATTTTAATTGATCATTAAAGCAGAAAAGTTTCACTGCAGTTTCCAAATATAACTTTTACCATTAATGAGAGTTTCCTAACAGCAAATTCACTCTGTTCTGTGACTGTGAGTGAAGGAAGACCAGACTCAGTCTCTTTTTATAACATAGCTACCTCATTCCCCCCATCTTCTTCCCTTTCCTCCCATGGTCTGGATTTTTCTTTCTGGAATGGGGCTAGTCAGGACCTGTGCACATTACCTCAGGTCCAAGTATCAGTGACAAGATCCATCCTTCCAGAGCACTTTACAGTGGCTTGAGCTGGTCCCACTGATGGGCAGTCTGCTGAAAGTTGGTGACTCCTGCATGTTAGGTATCACCCTCAGAGGGACCAACATCATAAGCTCAGCTCTGGCACTACCAGGTTTTAAGGTGGCCTTGGCAAAGCTAGTCCACCCATCAACAGGCAGAACTTCCCTACTCCAGCAGAGGTTGGTGCTCCAGGCTGGGGCCACTGTAATTTGCAGCTAAAGCTGCAGTCTAGCAGTTCTCCCCATATCAGAAGAGGGTGTTCAGCCACGTTCTAAAAGCAGCAACATGAGGCTAATGGGGTCAATTGAAAGTAGAGGAGCTGAGTTTCAGGGACTAATGAGAGCCTGCAAGCACAACTCTGTGAAAGTCAGTATTTAAAATAAAAAGAGATGCCCCAAGGAGAGGGGATGGATCAGGACCAGCAGGACAAGGGAGGTGATTCTGCCCCTCTACTCCACTCTCACGAGACCCGACCTGGAGTACTGCATCCAGCTCTGGAGTCCTCAACATAAGAAGGACATGGACCTGCTGGAGCATGTCCAGAGGAGAGCCACGAGGATGATCCGAGGGCTGGAGCACCTCTCCTATGAGGAGAGGCTGAGAGAGTTGGGGCTGTTCAGCCTGGAGAAGAGAAGGCTCCAGGGAGATCTTATTGCGGCCTTCTGGTACCTAAAGGGGGCCTACAGGAGAGCTGGGGAAGGACTTTTTACTAGGGCATGTAGTGACAGGATGAGGGGGAATGGCTTTAAACGGGAAGAGGGCAGGTTTAGATTAAACATGAGGAAGAAATTTTTCACTATGAGGGTGGTAAGGCACTGGAACAGGTTGCCCAGAGAGGTTGTTGAGGCCCCATCCCCGGAGGTGTTCAAGGCCAGGCTGGTCGTGGCCTTGGGCAACCTGGTCTAGTGGGAGGGGTCTGTGCCTATGGCAGGGGGGTTGGAACTTGACGATCTTCAAGGTCCCTTCCAACCTAAACCATTCTGAGATTCTACGATTCTATAAATGCGCTCTCCCTATGGAGAGCTGGCAGTCAGAAGAATCTGAAAGAAAATGCTGTTGTACTTTTGAATTAGTGCAAAGGCAAAAATTCAGCATTATGTGTTTATGACACCTAAGCCTATGCTCCTACTGCTAAATACGTCACTTTGGTGTTTAAATATCCTACTACATACAAATTCTTGTACATGGTAGTGTTTTCTCTCTTGTTATTGCTACCATTGTTTTTTCCAATTTCACTACAGGTTCTCACTCCCCCATATAATTCCCAATGCTGTAGCATTAATTTGATGCTCTTGTCACTAAACGTGAGAGCCAAAAAAAAATAAGGAACCTGAAGACAGTAAGAGGAACACTCAGCTGCAGTTAATCAGCTCTGCAGGTCTTTTTGGCTATTCACCAAAAAATGGTGAAGTGAACCAAAAAAACCCCACAGTTAAAATGAAAATGTCCTGAAGACCGGATTCTGCGCAATATCTTTCCTTCACAGCTGGCTAGTGTGATCTGCAATGACATTCCAGTAAGCAAGGGGAACCAGTGCTGACTCTAGGATTTTTTTTAATGGCGAATTTCATATCCCTTAAGTTCTTGAAGGAAAGAAAAAGAACATTAAAGCTAGAAAAAGATATTTTGCCACTTATTACTTAATGAGAAGCTAAATAAAACTATACTGCTGATTATTTGCTGGATAGGAAGCATGTTTTACACTATTTTCAAATCAATTTTCAAAAAAAACCCTGCAAATGAACTTACACATTTTAAATATTTTACGTGTACGGTCTGTACAACTCTGTCAAAACATCCAACACAAGGCATCTGAAAATCAAGAGTTGTTGGTATGTTTGCAATTGACAGTAATTTCATAAATGGTATCTGCAATATACGTGATATGTGCTACTTTATTCTGTCCAGGTGGCCTTTACCTACAGGGTTATATTGTGAGTGAACAATCTCTAGGCTCCAAGAGATCTGTAATTGAACTCAAACCTCCATCTGAAGAATTTAAAACTTTCTACTTATGTGCAGAGAACGTAAATGAAAACAAAAGGTAAACCAAACTGGGTTTTTTTTCAATTTTATTTGCCAGACTTCAGGAGACCAGCAATACTGTAGCTTGGGAAGATTTAGTGACAACTTTTCATTCTATTTTCACTTGTTCCCCCAGATTTCCCTTTAACCGTAGCTTTAGTCAAACTGCAGTACAACATGCTGGCACATGTGAGTCACCAGTTCTGCTGTTGTCAATGCTGGAACTACAGCAAGGCTGGCTTGCAGAGGCTCAGAAAGAAACCTGGATAAGGTGCCTTTCACAATGATGTGTGGGTGACTACAGTAAACAGAAATGCTATGGTACCTGTTAGAGATAATGGAAAGTATATCCTCCTCATTCCCAAGAATGATTTATTTCCAACAATGACTATTAGAGTGAAAAAAGAAAATTGGCCTATGAAATCACATTCTGAAAGTGAATTCTTTCTTCATAACCAGCCAAATTCCATGGCTGTCAGTGTGAGTTCTTCTTGTCTAAAGTGTACTGTTTACATAATTTGGGTTTTAATTCAGTGAACAAAGGACAAAGCTTTTCACTATGTTGGAAAGGGGTGTTAAGATATGTTGTTGTTATAGTCAACTCCTCCATCTCCTGCCTCTCTCCAGTCCATCAGCATACATAGTAACACAGCTGTACAAATACCATTTATAAAAGGTGTGTTTCAAAGAATGTAAAAACACATGCGTAACACTTGATCAGGGACAGCTGTTCGTCTTTCATTTCTTCTAGGTGGATTACAGCTTTGAAAGCTTCAATTAATAAATGGTTACCCCTACACCAGGCAATCCAAGATTTCATGAACAGACCACTGGAGGAGACAAGGATGTGAGAAGAAACCTCATCTGTTTTGCTCAATTTCTGTTTTCCATTAAAAATTCCATGCTATGTGTTACGATTCATCTTAAAAGATGCTCTAGCAGCAGCTAATCTTTAGTATTGCTATACATTCACAACTTTTGTAAGCATTAGTAAATAAACGTAAAGCAATGTTGCCTTCTTTGTGGCTGTCTTTGTTTTGTGTTTCTACTTCAATTCAGACCATGCATGAAGTCTGCTTTGCAAGGGTGACATCAACATGTATCTGATGCAGACAAAAGAGAAAGCACTGTATTTCAACATATGTTTTGTACTCCCTGATGTTTTGTATCTGCATCCTCTTTATTGCAAATGCACCCTTTGCAAAGATTTATGCTTTTCCATCCAAAATTTTCATACGTGGTTTTGCCTTTAAATTTCTAGATGGGGCGGGCTTAAGGTTGGGACAGGCTGGGCTGACAGAAAGGCTAGCAGCTATGCACTATATTACAGCATGCCTGGGAGAATGGGATAAATTTGTCTGATGTGGATGAATATTTTTGTTCTTGTGTATTCTATCTTAACACAAATTTTAATTTTACAGTGGTTTTGATTTGGCCATTTGCCATCACAGCAGTTAGCGGTAAGAGACAGCACCATAAATCTTCTTCAGGGATATCAGGGTTAGACATCTGTTGTTATTACAGTCCATGATACACATAGTGTTTGACATTCTCTAACATTAAAACAATTCTTCCCATGAACATATCTGGGTATTCAGTTTTCAAGCTTCTGAAAATACTTATTAAAGTAAAATAACAAAGGTTAGTTCCATTTATTTAATTGAAGCCACATGCTAACTAAATATCTCATCCTAAGAAATTTACAATTTAATGCCACAGGAAGTACAGAAAGGAAAAGCATACACACCCAATACAGACAAAAAAATTTCCAGTTTGTTACATTTTATTACAAATCCTGTGGTACTTGGTATTCTTGTCATGGTCCTTAGACCTTCAGATAATTTAAACACACCAGAACTTCAGCTTGGTCTTTTTATTAGCCTGGAAAGTGCCTAAAAATCTAAAAAACACGTGGCACCCCCCCAACCACCACAAACGTATTCTTATAGGAGACTGATTCATTAGCTTTAGATACTCGAAGCAATAGTATTTCAAAGAAAGTTGTTAAACATTTCAAATGTTTCACTGCAGTGATTTGAGTGATTTAATTAAAAAATAAGAATGGTTAGTTAAACAGTGTAAGCAATTTTCTGAAAGCAGGCGTACGAGCCCAAATATGTTAACAAGCTTGCTTTGTATAAATATGTGCTCTGAGGTAAAATGTATAACCATATTTAAAAACAAGCAGTCACCACAGTCATTTTCTACATCTGCTGCTAATATTTTAAAATTTTGGTGTTCAGAAATGAAATTCACAACTCTGAGAACAAGTAGTGAAGCAGGTATAAATTACTTCTTTTTCTCACTCTTTTCCACATTGGAGAAAATAATATATATGGGTCAAGTACCAATGCTGTTGAATTGAGACTAATAACATTTGCTAAAGTACTCCAATGCAGAGTGACAGCTCAGACCTAGGAGGCAGAAAAACAAATAATAGGTAAAATAAATGAAAACAAAATGAATGAAATGAACCACAAAAAATGCACTTCCTTTAAAAAAACAAAACAAAAAAAAAAACCACCAAAAAACCCCACCCTATTTAAATGAGCAGACTGGAGGCTGTGAGAGGATTGGTCACCCTATGGGACCCAGCTGTTCCTTCATTTGCTGCTAGCGTACTTAGTATGTTTCTCCCTTTAACAGGCGCCATGTACAGCCATCCTCAGACAGAATCATGTGACCAGCAAATATCTCGTTTTTATAAACCTTTGAAGACACATATGATAATATATGTGGCACAAAGAACTGACAGCAATGAAAAAAACAGTAAGCTCAATAGCAAGGTGCAAAAAAGAAATAAGCGGTTCAATGTGAGTAAAGATTACAAGACAGGGTCTTTTCTCTTATTGTATCACTATATTTTCATCATTATAAAGTATTTTATAAATTAGAGGGATTTTCTCCCCCAATTGAAATAATTTCCAAAGTATACTAGAGTTGCAGTAGCAATTTGTGCTTTGTTCAGTGTTGTATGCGAACAAATATGAAAACTAGAAAATGTAGGTGCTTCCTCCCATTTGATGCAAATCAAAAATGTATCGGAAATGCCACAGGTGTACACCTGTACAAAATAGAATCACATCTTATTTCTGCTGTAAAACTGTGCATTTTCACAGCAGATTTCTTGGGGCTTTTGCTTAAGTCAGTAGAGTTTATTGAAATCTTTCTGATGGACTTGATAATTTGTCTTTCTCTTCTCTGATTTTATACTTCCAGAATCAAATAAAATACTAAGCTGTAGTAAACTTACCATTTCTTAAACTACTATAAACTGAAAAATTAAGAAAAATGTAAATTATAAAAAAACCCAAACTATCAGGCTTTGGAATTATCTAGTTTTTTACCCAGGAAAACTGAGAAGGAGCCAAAGGCAAGCTTGCCACCTTTCTCTGAGCCAAGGCTGGTTCTTTTCCGTACATCTGAGAAGAGGTCAGAGTAGCCCATGGGCTGTTCTTATTTTCCTGTGAAGTAACTATGGTCCCCAAGGAGGTAGGCTACCATCCAGTCATTTCATTTTTGTAACTTTGAAAAATATACTAAAGTTTTTCCTCTGTGTGTATCAATTGCATGAAAATTGTCAGCAGAGGAATTAGCAAGATCTCAATCCTAGTTACGATAGGCGATTTTACTGTTATGCGCAATAGGTATTCACACCACTTCTTGGACAATACTTCTAGTTTGAGATATAGTTCACTCAGCTTGGCATACATATGACTACAGGACAAATGTTAGTCATGGTCATAAAATCAGCCATGGCTTTAGAAAAAAAAAAAAAATTGAAGTGGGATTGTTAACTTTACATCCTTTCCATAATACAGCCTGATGGTGTTTGTTATAATGAAACACTTATGCATCTCTTGTCTCCAGTGAATGGCCTTTTCTTTAGTCATGCAATAATGTCTCCTGAAGATACTAGGGAGAAAAACAAAAAGATACCCAGATTGCTCACGTTACCCTTCACTATCCTGCACAGCTAATCCAAATACCTTTTATACTGGAGGAAATGTTATTACCATGCACCAAATGCAGAGAGAAATAATGAAGATGTTTTGGGTAAGGCTTTTGTGGAAGAAAGTATAAAAACCTGGATCTCTTGGGCAGGGAAACAGTAAGGCACTGGATAAGGTGATTGGATGGAGAAATTGTGATTGTTCAATAGCAAAAATAATAAAAACCTTTTTCACTTATCCACCTTTAGCACCTACATGTGCTAAAGTTACTAGACAGCAGGTGTGGTTAAATATGAAAGTCATTTCTAATTCTTTTAACAGGCAGGAGCTCTATTAGACGAGTAACCTTACAACATGCACTATTTCAGTACCATGCAGTTTATGTTTACTTATTTGTGATCTTTAAACAGGAATGTTTTAAGGCCAAATACATACACAAAATGCTTTTCTTGACACAGTAGCATAAAGCCACAAGCAGAATTACTGCATCCGTGCTCTTCCTGGGTAACAGTGCACAACAGCAAAAAGCGCACTGGCATGTCAGCATCTTACTGAAAAACTACTTTTCCTCCATTTTTCTTAACATAATGCATGCAGTCTGAGGGCGGAGAGGTGAAGTCTGCAGAATATTCCAAATCTAACCCCACTAGTCAAATAGATGTTCTCATTCTTCTCTCTGTTTAAAGTTAAATGTATGATTAGAAGTCAGGAACATGTCTATGGAGCTCAGTAATTTACAGAATCGTATCTGCAACAGCAGTTTGCATCCTGTCGATTACATTTGTGACTTTGAGACATAAAGCAAGAGCATGCATGCCCTTCAAGCTAGACTACAGCCCACTTAATTAGGGGCATAAACAAAAAGTAAAAAGTCGTTGGTTTAAAATGGGTTAGAATTGAGTCTGGATGCAAACTAATGAAACAGCTTTCTCAATATCATTTCATCTGTAGTTTATAAAAGATATTTTAAGAAATTCAGTAATTTTTCAGTATGAGAGTTCTCAGATTTCTGAGACATCTGACAGCTCACAGAATTTCAGAGTTGGAAGGGACCTCTAGAGATCATCTAGTCCAACTCCCCTGCTAAAGCAGGATTGCCTACAGCACATTACTCAGGACTGCATCCAGGCGGGTTTTGAAAATCTCCAGAGAAGGGGACTCCACAACCTCCCTGGGCAGCCTGTGCCAGTGCTCTGTCACCCTAACTGTAAAGAAGTTTTTCCATGTGTTGGAACAGAACTTCCTATGTTCCAACTTGTGCCCATTGCCCCTCGTCCTGTCACTGGGATCCACTGAAAAGAGTCTGGCTCCATCCTCCTTCAACCCACCCTTTAGATATTTGTAAGTAGTAATAAGGTCTCCCCTCAGCCTTCTCTTCTCCGGGCTAAAGAGTCCCAGCTCTCTCAGCCTTTCTTCATAAGGGAGATGCTCCAATCCCTCAATCATCTTGGTTGCCCTTCGCTGGACTCTCTCCAGCAGTTCCCTGTCCCTCTTGAACTGGGGAGCCCAAAACTGGACACAGTATTCCAGTTGTGGCCTCACCAGTGCCGAGCAGAGGGCGAGAATGACCTCCCTCGACCTACTGGTCACACTCTTCCCTATTCAGCCCAGGATACCATTGGTTAATTAATCTAACATATCTTATAAATCATCTCTATAACACTAAAAACATAAACAGAAGTGCCTGTTTAAAAAAAATAAATTAATTAACAATTAACCAAAACACTTTTGGTGATACTCAGAGCATCAACAGAAAACCCATGAACTTGTGGACTTAAAGAGCATCAATGCTGAGTTTGTTAAACAAAAATGTCCAAGGACACACCAGTCTTGCATCGCAATGTTGCAATTTGTTGTTGATGTATCCTGTCTCTAGTTGCAGCAATAAACTGCAAAAACGGTGGCAGCTTAGCTGTTTTTATCCCCAGGTGGCTGTTGCCATCCTTACTTGAGGAACAGATACAAGTTAAAATGCCACATTTTATGAGCCAGAACTGTGCGATAATTCCTCATTTTCTCTCATGCAAAATCAGTTGGCATAATTTAAATGACCGCTGACAGCTTTATCTTTATTTTCACATGAAAAAATGTTGGGAGAACAGTCAGCAAAATATGATCACAAGGAAACCACTACCTCCATCCCAAGAAATGGAAATCTTTCTTGGCCTTCCAATGGGACTAATAAAGAAATGCACTCTTTGCTTGAAAGAACACGAAGAATACTACTTTTTCCAATCTTCAAGTTATTTCAGCAATGTTAACAGAATGCTATTGACTTTATACTTACAACACTTCCAATGGGAACTCAAGAAAGTAGGTTGGAAATATTTCTGAAGAATCATGAAAAGAAAGCCCCCAGAAATTAAACACATTTTAGATAATAGAATTTAAAAAAAAAAAAAGAAACAAAAAAAACCCCAAAACAAAACACAAACAAACAAACAAAACCCCCACACAACAAAACAGAGGTACCTATTTTACTATGAGACAGAACAGAATTTTGAGTTAGCCACCAAAGAAATAGTAGTCAGTCATGACATCTCCAAATCCAGATTTCTCCAAAGGCTGAGGGAGTTTAGACTTAAAGTTGCTTTTTTTAAAGTTCCCCTTTGGAATCTAAGTTTAGTCCTATTTCAGCTTTTGTTTCAATTCCTTCGAAAGAAAACATGGGAGGTGAACTGGGGAAAGCCACTTCATTGCTGTCTCATGTCAGCAAGAGATCAGCCAGATGTGCAATCACTGTATCGCCAGTATCTCATCACGGCTCATTTGTTTGCATCGAAGGCTTTTTATTTATTGCTAGATACACCCTCATTCAAGGTTTTCCTTTCACTGCCAGGAAGAAGATAACTGTATTGAAACCAGAACATTTCCATTAGCAGAGTATGATACTCCACTGAGAAGAAATTGGGTCATGTACTTGAAGCATGATTTATTCAGATGGTTTGCTGCACTCCAAATGGAGCTCATTTTCTGCCCTGTTCAGCAGAAAATATGTACAACGTTCTGCAGAGGGAAAGCCACAGAAGGTCACCAAGGCAGTTTCCACAAAGGACTGAGCTTTTTAGCAGGAAACACTCTGAGGCCACAAAAACATTTTTGCAAAGTGCTTAGCTCCCTTTTGTAGCATGTTTCTGAAGGATAAAAGTGTTGGGGTTAGTTTTTCACCTTCTTTTCCCAGGCCCTGGAGTCTTATTTACCAGAAGGTGAAAGTCATTTTAGTGGAAAATGTTTTTGAATTTTCCAGACTCAATCCACCTTTCAAATACAGCAATGATGAGATACACATTAGTCAAAGCTGAAACATCGCAGCACTCTAGGACAGAAATCTGACTGCCTAATACCTCGACTTTGCTGACACACGAACACTTATGCTGATTCCTTCTGTTGGCATCATGCCCATTCACAAGATGACATGCTAATTTTATCTGAGTTGAGGGGAAGGATTCCAGCAGTACGCAGAATTTGACATATCTTATTCAAGATGAGCTTCTCAAGGGCAATTTATGCCAGCCAAGACAGACCCTTTGTAACAAAAAAAATCTCATGGTGACAGAGCCAGGAAATACTTTCATTTTTCTGGGAAAAGAATGTTGCTTTTACCTAAAGCGTTCATCATTTAGGAGAAGGTCTTCTATTAATGAAAATACACAAGAAGGAAGACCCAAAGTGATTTCTTAATACCCTAGGACAGTTAGAGATTTTGAAAATTATTTGGTGGCTTTTTCTGTTGTATATTATATTATATTATGTCATGTCATGTCATGCCATGTCATATCATATCATATCATATCATATCATATCATATCATATCATATCATGTCATGTCGTAGCAATGTGTATCATACCTATTTTTGTAATTTATAACTTAGTATTTCCTTAATTTTACATTGCCGAGAACAGCCATTATCTAGCACCCAGTGAAATGTCTTGTGTTCATTACAAGAAACTGCAGCCATTGTGATTTAGAACAAAATGTTTGAAAATCTGATTTAGAAGAAGATATATTTCAATAAATATAAATGGAAAGCCTTTTTACACCTGAAAAATAATAAAATATTTCAAGTATAAATTGATTTCTACATTTCTAAATGAAAATAATCTGAAACAAACATTTCGAAGGATACTCGGTGAGAAATTTTGAGAATATTTGCCCTTGTCCCATTGAGGAATGAAAAACAAAATTTGAAGTGTGATTACTAACAAGTAAATTGATGAATTTTGAGTAAATGCTAAGGAATGTACACTCAGTTACTGCTTTTTTTTTCAATCTTCTGTTGGGTTTAGGCTGGGATTTTTCTCTAAATAGCGTCATTCTTCCAAATTCTGAAATAGGAATACACACAACTTTTTTAGCAACGCTATGAAGTCTTTAGATAAACGTTCTTCCTTTACAAGCTAACTTCAAATAATAAAATGCAAAACCTGACAAACTGCTATAGGTCCACAGGTACAGAATAGCTGCTGAACTTGTAGCTGCCCCTGGGACTTCAGCAGGTGTACTATGCAGATTCCACGAATTCAGTTCACTACTCCAATCTTAATTTTCACAAATAAAAAGTAAGTTTTCCTGACACAAGACCAAAACAACTACTCACTGCTCTCCAGTTGCCACAGCAATGGGTATTCCAAGATAATATGATGACAGATAATTGTACTTGGGCCCCATATTAGCTAAGTATTATACTACTTGTCAGCTGCTGTGGATCCTTTCTTACAATTAAGATGTTTTTCTCCACACAGGGAGAAATAAGAAAATTAGCAACTGGGGGAAAGGACGATTTCCCAGGGCAGCCATTAGAGACTCCACAGGCAAGTGCTGTGCCAAGGTTGCACCTCCCCATCAGTGAAGCGTGATTCCCATTTCTGCATAGCTGGAGCTCTTTTGCAGCAAGACCAGTGGATGCACTGCTCTGGCGTCCTCTTCCTCAGACTCCTCACCAGACTAGAAGGCCAGACCAGTCGATACACCATACAGGGAAAACAGCGTGCTTGGCCTGTTCTGGACTCTTCGCTTACATAAAACAAATTAATCCTTTTCAGTAGGAACCAATTATAACCACTGAGGCTCTGGGCATTTTGTTCTAGGACCCACACCAAGCCAGAGGCCAGCTATTTGGTGCTTCTACACAACTGCATTTTATGTTGAAAGCGTTATTATGTGCCAGCGATCAGCAAGGACAACTAACGATTTTCCTGTAAGGAAATTTGGCGTCATGTATGTGTTGGTCAAAACCCCACAGAGCAAAAAGACGACTTGCTGGTGGCCCAGTGAACTGGCCACTGAAAAAACACTCATTAAACAGGTAAACCTTAATTAAGTAAACATCCTGAAATTGCTTCTTCAAATAAGGAATTGCCTCTCCTGCTGCAAAGATGGTTTTGAAAGACAAACGGAACTACTAATTGGTGATGAGGTAGTATGTTCATGAAGCGAAAAGCATGGATCTGGAAGGGAATCTCTCTAGGCGCGTTTATCTATGGCACAAAAGGGAGCAGGCGTCAGAGCTAGTAACAGCTCACTGCTGGAGGGAGCAGGGCAGCTGCTGCGAGGCTGTTTGTCTGCTGGAAGCAAGGTCGAGTGCACCTCTGTACAGCACCAAGTGAAAGAGCTGGCACACCAGGTTGTACTTTGTGTTTCTGTGTTGGATAGAGGTACCACACACTGTGGTTCACAAATGAGTTTGGAAAACAGCATGGATTTTGCCAACAAAGCAGACCTCACCCTAGGGAAACAGCAAAGCAATCTGATGAGGGAAAGAATCAAAGCACTAACAGCCACCAAAAAACCAGCAAGCACAGTCTGCAAGAACCCAAGAAGCAGCCCCAGCTGAAACTACATTCATTACAATCGACTGTCAAGGAGACAGCACAGAAGCTAGAATAAAAAAATATCCTGGCTAAAAAATACAGTGCAAGATTAGAAGAAAAAAAAATTAAATTAGGTAGATGCCACTAACTAAATAAAGAGCAGCAGTACACACAGTGACTGTGGGCACACAAATACCCAATGAGAAAGGAGGATTCTCACAGTGTGTTTATAGCAGGGGTAGGAAACCTCTGCACAGGCTGGAAATCAGCAGAAATACCCATAATCCCTGTGAAACTGAATTCCAGACTGCTGCGCCTTCGTGATTGTAAATACCTGTGCCATCAAAACAAAGGTTTACATATTTATGCAATGGTCACTCTTTCCCCATGCATTGAGAGTTCATTTACTGCTGCAAAGGCTGCTTATTTGTGGTTACTTTGTTAGACAGTTACGTCATTGCCAATTTTATTTGGATTGCAAGCCAAGTACAGCATAATCCCGACAGTATCAATAAGTAGTAATAACAGAGTGGAGAAACATGGCCAGATGCTTTTAAAAATCATTCTAGGGGCCGTCTGTGGGAAGAAATGTGGGCTGTAAATATGACAGGAAAGTGAAAGGAAACACTGTGGCTTTGAGCTGATGTGTAGGAGGCACACCCACAGCAGGGCAGTGCAAGCGAGGTAATCCCACAGAGCACATTCAGTGTGAAAAGAAGAGTGAGAACAGTCACCTCTCTCTGTCAAGCAGAAAAATAATTCAAATCAAGGATCTTGATTTGAATCTAGGATTCTCACCAAACAGGCAAAGTGGAGTCAGCAAGAAGCTCCTCTCTCCTCCTCACAGAAGCACAAACAAATACTCAGGAGCACCAGAAGAGTCATTGCATGAAGAACCCTTACAGAGAGCTTTACAAGAATAGGGCCATCACAGACTCTGGTTGGGGTGGATGAGCAGCCTGCTCATGGTGAGAACATGGTGAAGCACAGCTGCACATGGAGCCAGCATCCTGCAGCAGAGGAGCCATTTTCCCCTGCAAATGACTGGGGATACACATCTATTTTATCAGAGGGAAAGTGACTCATTGTTTCTGTGATCAAGAAAGGTTCAGTTCTACCGAGCTAGATAAGCGGGTGCTGACAAGGCTGGAGGTGGTGCTGGAGCCTCACCAGCTCTCTGATGCAATCCTCCCCTCCATTGGGAAAAGTGCTATGTAGCAAGCAACAAACAGCAGACCATAAAAACAGACCTTGACAACAGCTGAGCAAACTTTGTGCAAAACTGAGGAGAGCTGACTTCCTAATATTTAATGCACATGGGTGCCTGCAGGAACCCAGTGAGATCCCAGAAGCTGTTAAGCAAACGTTTAAACCCCAGGTAATAAAAGCAGCTCATCAATTTACAGGGACAGCCAAGTATCTTTCTAGACTCTGTGCATTCCTACAGAAAACATTAGCAGAGTTCATCTTCCACAGATAAAGAGAGGGCTTCAGCAGCACTTGAAAAAATAAAATTGGTGCTGTCCTGAAGTCTTTACAAACCTGAACAGCAGTTAGACCTGCTGTTAGAGGCACAGTTCTGGTAAATCCCAGAAGCATGACATGGCCAGCAGCACACAACCTTTGGCAGTGAAAGGCTCAGGCCACTAAGCAGCTATTGTGTGAGTTCTTGGGACTGAAGAACATCATTGGCTCATCCTTGGATAAGCACTGCACAGGTAGCCATTAAAAAGCATCTTGGAAAAGCCACAGAATATTATGCATCAGCATGTACAGAACAAGGGAGAAAATTCATTGACAGCAGCAAGTGCACGAATCTCATTTATTCTCTATTGTGCAAAATGAGATTAAGAGTGTCTCAACTGTAGATCAGAAAAGCTTCCCATTCCTATACAAGCCAACAAACTACCCAACAAGCCAGGGTGCCAAGGCAGTAAACAGTCCACAGTTGGCCACACGACAATGAGAAAAAAAAAAAAATTCCTTAAAAGTTATTGCGTAGTACCAAAGGATGAAAATTTTAGTAAAGGCAATATTTTGTGTGAAAGGCAATAAGGCATTCTCCCAGAACACTAAGAGCAGACATCTCAAGATGTGTGTGCTCTCCACCAGGGTAGTGAATACTGCTCGAAAGCAAGGGAGTATATCTTCTAACCAAACCTGAAAGACCAGCTGAGAGTACTTCTCTGTGGAGTGTAAAGAATGTGTGGAAATGGGTATTAGAAGGCCTGCAATAACAGAGGACAGAGCATTTCATTCAATCCAAACCGAATTCACAGGGACGGTAAATAGTAAAGGTGTTCTCACCTTTCCATCTTTCAAGCAGAGATAATACTGCCTTTTGTCTGTCTAAGCCATTTATAATTTATGTTATTTGGAGCACAGAATCTACTTAATATTCACACGCACAGAATCTAGTATGAAAGATATATTTGTATTATGGTAACACCATAAGACAACAAGAAGAAAAAGAGAGAAAATGAAAATTAGTATGTGTTTATATCACAGTTAATATCTCCTCACATTGCCTAGCAAAAATTTTTCTAAGATTAAACTAAAATTAACCTACAAGTTAACTAAAATACCCTCCTATCAGTGCTGTCCAAGAATCAAAAAGGCCTTGTTGCCAATGACCTGGAAAATGATGAGTAGTAAATGTTAGTTGCTCCTGAAGATAATTATGGGAAAAAGAAAGATTTCACACATTCGACAATCTAAATGTCTTGCACTTTAAAAAAAAAAAAAAAATCAATGGGAAAAGCTCCAAGTGCTGATTTGCTGAGGTGATAATTGGTTGCTAGAAACAATAAGAAAGATTTACTCTTGAAGACATTTAAAAACATATTCTGACATCCAGATAATGCTATCTCATCACATTATGCAGCATCTACATACAAGGAGAGAACAGGTGAAAGAGTAAATGGTATAAAATCTTGGAAGGACTGATAAGGACACACCCTGACACATTTGTAACTAAATTCATTTATATGTGCAGATAAAGGTAAACTGCTATCAAAAACATCCTTTATTTCACAGTGTCTTTTAAGTTGTTTTGCTTGAGGTTTGACCAAGGCTATTTAAAATATTCGTATTCAACATTACACATGCACATGTGCACAAACACTCTGGAAGGATTGTACTGCTGTCACTACCTTTAGTTTTAACCTTATTCAGGTCACACTAGACCCTGTGGGACTGCGCTGTTGTTTACTGTCTAGCAGCTCAGACATGATTTTCTCTAGAGATAGCTGCCCAAAAAGAGCCTTTCAACAGAATGGAGACTCTCTACCAAGAAACCCCCAAGGGAACAGTTTGAAGACCTCCATACTTGCTGCTGAGAGGGTAAAAATGTATGATAATAGAACATCAGACCTCTCCTAATTAAAAGCGTGAATTTGTTTGTTTTCAGCTTATTTGCTTGTTTGTTTGGTCAGACTGCCAAACTGGCATTCTTACAAAAGCAGTGAACCCAGAAATTTTGGTTCAGAGATGTGCAGCTTGATAGAGGGAATGGCACAGTGAGAGTTTTTCTTCTCCTGCCTCTTTGCAGCTTCAGTCTAAGTGCTGTATCGGTGGAAGAACGAAGACTCAGCAGAAATATACATAGATAGCAACAGTGTGCAGCTGGTCACCCTCAGCATCTTGTAAAAAGCACTGCAATGAAAAATAAAGCTCTCATGTTGTAGGAGGTAAGATTGCAATGCAAAATAAGGAAGGTATTGGGGTTGGTCACTGAAGGAGTATTCAGCAGTGACAAGGCATGTAGTGCAATTAGTGAAGATCAGAGGAAAAGAAATTTTAAAGCATTTCACTGCAGGAAGGACTTGCTGGAGATACCGCAACTTTTTATACGTGCTAGTGCTCACCTTGCCAAATGATAAAAGGTGTCCTAAAACACTAAAGGGGTTTTCAAACTGCACATACAGGCTAACAGAAGGAGTAATTTCTTTTCTAACCTGATTTGTTGTTGCTATCCACGATCAACTGAATTTATAATTATTTAAGCATTTATTTAGGATTTAAAAACTTTCAAAAGTCTTCCATGCTAAGCAAATTTAGACTGCGAAAACACAGTGTGATTTTACTTACCAGCTGTGAAACAATCTTACCAAAAGCCCATGCCTCCAGGGGTCTATTTCTCACAGTCACTGTTGACAATAGTAGTCATACAGTGTCTGATCCAAAGACATTCACCAAAATCACACTTTTTGTCTGCACTAGCATCTGGGATAGTTTTTTTTTTTGTTTAACTATGCAAAGAGACCCACTACTTTTGCTGTTTTTTCCCCTCCTCAAGACTTTTCCTCCTATTACTCTTTCTCCTGCAAAGGAAAATTAGAAAGCATGCAGCACTAAATCAATCACACTTCAAATCATTTATTCTTATACAAATAAAGGCACTTATGAGCATCTCCAGAGTTTTGGGGGTTTTTTCTAAGTTTCTAACCAGCAGCAGTTTAACATTTTTCTCTTAAGCATGCAGCAAAAGGGTTCACCTCAGAGGTCAAAAACTTTCAAGTCGAATGTGGGACACGTACAAAGAAAGCTGGAGAGCAAGAAGTTCATGAAAATGCGTATGCATTAGTAAGGTAAATGTATTCAGACTGTAGGACAGGAACAAATAACTTCATACAGCAAAAGCAGCTCAACTCAGGTACATGCTAAAAACAAAAAGCATGATGGTTTCCACAAATTGAGCAGTTCTAGGGTGCCAGTCTCCAAGAGATTATGTATTGTCTGAACACATACTGTGTACATTGAAGCTCACACATAGCTTTGAGAGTGAAATCTAAATGCAGGCTTTACCACCATTAAGGCAAACAACAGTATGTCAGCTTCAAAGAGTACAAAGATTTTGCTAAGGGGTATGCAAAGAAGCAAAACGATCTTACAAATGCAGTAGGAAGTCTGTCAATAAGACAGCTTCAGGTTTTCAGCCTTCTGGCCCCAGCAGCACCTCCACCACCTCCGCCCTGGTGTCCCAGCGTGGGAACTACAAACTGCTCTGGCCCCATGTGCTGAAAGAGCAAGGAAGAATATATGAGGAGGAAGCAATTGTTAGTGAACTTTACGTAACATCTTCGTTAGAGCCAGGCTTAGACCAATACATTCTTCCCTGACCTCTTTATAAACAAACAGCCACTGGTGACAATGAAAGGAATATATGTGTGTGGCAGCTGCTGCATTGGCCAACTGACTGAAATGTCAGAATTAAAAGCATGAAATATTGACTGGAGCTGTAATAGCTTTGTATTGTTGGTGGATCAAGGGCAGAAAAGGCACCATGCCACTGCCTTCAGTAACGTGTACGATACACAAACCCAGATTAATGTGTTTTCTGCGCCACATGTTGCCACAGCATACAACAAAGGTCAAATAGAAAAGGGAGAGGACAGGCACCCAAACAAACCAAGGAAATAAGACCACAGGTGAATCAAATAAACCAGAACAGCTCCTCAGAGGAAATTAATTTTAAGGGTTTCGGTGATGACTAGGACACATGGCAGACACAGGGTCTCTGTAAGGGAAAGTACCAGCCAGAGACTATAGGTAGATAAAGATGGGCAGAAAAATGGATGGAGCATCAGGAGCAGAAACAGACCAGGCAAGAGAAACAAAACAAAAGCAAATGGAGAATTTGTGGACTACAGGGAAACACAGTACAAGTGAAGTACACCAGTGAAGACATCCAAGAATGTGGTGGGGTAGGCCAAGCTGCAGAATATAAGTCTTTTAGCAAAGCTGCTGCTTCATGTGGACTGAGGGAGCAAGACTGACAAGAACACAAAGTGAGAATACAAAATATTATAACTATTGCACGCATAGCAAAGACATTTTTAAATATTTCGGGCAGTGATTCAGGCAGTCATTCTATTTTGACGGATTCTCCTTGCCTGAAACATTGTCATCTTTGTGTAACTGTGGATGCCACTAAAACCTGAAGAAACTGGTAACCTAGAAAGTCTCTTCAAACCTTCCTCTGTACAGCAATCCTGGAAAGATAACCATTAAAACTGCAACCTAATTAACTTAAATAGGTTAGCTCACTTAAACAGTGTCTCACAGAATACGTTTGCATTCTTATTTCAGCTTCCAGATGACCTTGGAGTGTCAGTGTGGATACCTGCAGATGACAGCAGGCTACGTGCTGCAGAATGAACCGGTTGTTGCAGCAAGCCATTGTCAACAAGCCTGGTAAAAGTATACGACCTGCTATAGGGAGCAGCATTATTCCCAGTCATTCATATCTTTAAATCATGTCTGCATACACTCTTTGTTTGCCTTCATTGACAGTAGTGCTTATCAGGAACTACTTAACTGTGATGCCTCAGACCTACAGATTATCTCTGGAGCTAGCTCATTCCCTTGAGGTCTCCCTCCAAACAGTTTGTGTCGTGTGTTTGTGTTGTGTGTCTCTCTCCTTGAGGGTGCAACGCAAGATTAATCCCTTTAAAACAAGTAAATGGAAAGGGCTGTGAAATGCTAAAGGGTTTCTACACCTGTCATGTCACCAGAAACCTTCTCTTGCTCCCTGTAGAATTTTATACTAAATGCATTTCACCAAAAAGCCAACGCAGTTGCTGTACTTATTCCATACCTATATACCTGTATAGGTATCTACCCACGCAGATACCTATTCTTAAAGGCAGCAGAAAACAGTAGATATGAGCTTCACCTTGGAGCCAAAACCAAGCTAGTGAAATTCAACAAAGCAAGCCATGGTATGTGCTCTACTGACAGGCAACATTTCACTTTCCATCTTGTAACCAGAAAAGCTAGACTGCCATCAGGGAACACTTCTTAGTCAACCTTCTTCAAAAGAAATCAGCACTAAAATCCCCAATGACAGACCACAGAGACTTTCATGGTGTCCTGCAAGGGTCACATCAGAGGCAGGAGAATGTGAAAGTAAAACTAGGCCAAAACCACTGATCATTCTTGTACAACTCAAAATGCAGACAGCGTTCCCTAGCGACTGAAAGTTTCTTGAGCTTCATGATCCATGCAGTGACCTTGTACTACAGGGCTACGCTGCCCATGTACACTTACCAGTGGAAAGCTAGAGTGCAGATTTCACTTACCATTCTGGCAGCCACAGAAGAGAATGATGGGAAACACTGAAAAAAAATCTCTGTAATTACAGACCAAATATGCAAGGCCATAAACCTCTTCCACAGTGTGCTGAAATTATCCCTGTTTTACATGTCCTTTTCAAAGATCACCCTCTTT